GGTTTAATTTTAGGAGGACGAATTTTATATGATACATAAATAAGGTCATGATAAGAAAATGCATCGGCCGAACATTGACCATGCTTTGTAACATGCTGTGGAGATGAAACTATAGATAAGTCAAGAAGAGAAGGCGTAGAGTTAGGAAAATGATGAGTAGCACTAAGTGGAAGTATGTGCATGTTGCTTGAGTTGATAACTCTATGAAGAGAAGAAGTGCGGTGGTCATTTTTTAGGAGGCAGGTATTGAAATCTCCCATAATAATGGAGTGAGTAAAAGAAGGAACAAAATGATCCAGTAATCTCTCAAAGGTATCAAAATAGTTAACACGCAGCGAAGGGCTATAATAAACTCCGAGAAGAACTTTAGTATGTGATAGAATAACTTCCACCAGTAGATGCTCGCCCGCATCGGGTAACGGTGGCTGAGGAGAGGTGCTAATGATATTGACAGGAATATTATTTCTTAAATAAATAGCCACTCCACCACCAACAGAACCAATGCGGTCATTTCGTATGAGACGAAATCCGGGTAAGGCGTAAGAGGAAGAAGATAAACATGGTTTCAACCAGGACTCGGAGATTAGTACAGCATGAATATTCTTATGGTGAAACGACGCCAGCAAGTCAGGGAAATGAGCCGGAATACTTTGCGCGTTGATGTGAATTACATTGAAATTCTTTGGAACATCAGAAAACCGAGCCTCAAGTGTGTCAGAAAGTGAAGGCAAACTAGAAAAACTATCATTATTGCTACTACTGTCGTCAGCAGATGACAATGACAGGTATGGGTCTACGTCACTGCCAGATGAATTTGACATAATAATAAATATTATATATATATAATAATAATAAAATAATAATAAAAAAACAAAACACACACAATTACGATATCAATATCACTATCTCCACCCGCCGGTTGCAGTGTTAAGAACAATGATTATTTAATTGCAAGGTTGCGACAGCAATACAGAAAATAAAGTTAAATAACATGTCTGATACTTGGCCAAACAAAGTAAAAAACAAAATTATTACATTAAAATGAGGAAAAAAAAAAAGAAAAAAAAAAAAGCAGTCGATAACAAGACAAGACACAAATAAATATTACTTTAAAATAGGCTGTATAGCAAAAATCCCAACGCTTAAACAAACAAATCACATATTCTGACCTGTCAATGTCATTTAACTTGTAAATAAACAGTCATTTTCAACAGTGAAACTTGTCACAAAAATATAATTAAACAAAAAGAACTTTATCATAAACGAAGTGAGTGTAAAGTAAAATTAAAAATTTGTGACTACTCGAAAAAGTTACGCAAATGAACTTACATGGTACAAAGACCTGTGATAAATAAATAAAACAGACTTCACTTCTTGCTCGCGACACCAGCACGCCTACTTTTCGTCGTTATCACAGGTTTCAACGGGAGGGGAACCGTGGCTTCCTTAGCAGTTTCCGGTGTTAATTCCACTGTTACAGTAAGCTTCTTCAACTCCTCCATGGAACTGATGCGCGTGCGCTTCCCGTCGGTACCAATTACCATGACAAGCCCTTGCTGCGTAAAGCATTTATGAACACCAAATGCGTCACGGGCCGCCATAAAAACGTCGTGCCTCGCCTTCGTAAGGAACTCAGATATAGTAATCCCCGACTTTTTGAGCGCCGTCTTAGCGAACCAGATCTTATCCCGCAATCTGATGTCGTGTACTTTCAAAAGAATGGGTCTAGGCTTACCATTCCCAGAAGCACGCCCCATACGATGACACCTGCTTATACTGTCGACGGTGAACTCGGTAATTTTTAACCGATCAACAATAGCATTGGTTATCATAGCTGCAGCGTCCTCATCCTTCACCTCAGGCAAGCCATGACACAAGAGCATTTTTCGCCGGGTCCGCATTTCAATATTGTCTACCTGATGCGCAAGGAGACCCACTTGTTGCTGTAATCCTTGTAGTACTGTCATGATAAAGGACCGAAATGCAGCGAAATCACTCTTCAGATTGTTGATGTTTGGGGACGGGGATGCAGCCTGAAGCTCACTTTGATATTCATCCATTTTTCCAGTGAAGTACTGTTGAAGTTCGGCCATGGATTCTTGAATTGATTTCATTATGATGAAGTGTAGTGAGACAATTGTGACTTGTAGTATTGGGGAAGAGAGATCTTGTGGATAACACTCACCGGCAGGTATTGAGTATCAGTTATTAATATTTCATTAAATTTATATTTGAAAATTAGATTTTAAAAATAATATTATTTATTAAATTATAAGGTGTTCAAAATGATGTTTACTTTGCTACACCTAACCCCGAAAAAAAAAAAAAAAAAAATGTGTTATGTGTTAATATCCTGAAATGGAAAACAAATAAAAAATAAATGGTTATAGTTAAATTTAGAGAGTTGTATTATACAACAGAACTGCTGCCAATATATATTAATACGTGAAGCAAAAACTGTGCACCCCTTTTTACGAAAATTGCGAGGACAGACGAGTATGAAATTTGACACACTTATAGTTTATATATAGGAAAAGTGCAAACGGCTAATAATTTTCAATAATAATGCTTATTATTTATCAAATTTATAAATGAAACATTACACACATTACTATGGATTTGACACACACAAACAAGTATTTGCTACACGCATATATACACAATTGTTTCTTTTGACAAAGAGTTTGTTTGTTTCTTTTGAATATTGGCATCGCATGGTTTGTGATTTAGCCAGTGTCAAGTTTTATATGTTTACCATAGACATCTATTAATATGTTTACTGTGGTCTTACTGAATGTCAAAAGATTTTCGATTTCAGTAATTTCATATTTTTACAGGAAAAATAAGTGATTTTGAGAGATAAGTACAATGCAATGCAATAGACAAATATGTTATCATTCTATATTTAACGAAAGTTCTGTGGCAGTAATCTGAATGAAAAATTTAAACATACAGGTAAAAAATATATAAATCTGTTATTGCTGGTTCAAAGATATTTGTATTTTTTTATTGTGGAGGCAAGAAATATAAAAAGAACTTTTTCTCTTTTTCATTTCAGTAATTTCATGAAAGAATTTTCATTATGCCTCGACGTAGAATACTATCGGGTCGGAGTGAAAGACAAAGATGGAATAATTCAAATACTGTTAACAAATATATGTAGTCTTTGAGAATAGAACCTTAATGAACATTATATTTTAATAAATTATGTTAAATAACTTCTAATTGAAATTTATTATGGTCTAATTTTGACCACTGGGCGACCACTAGTTATATTAACTACTAGCTATAGCCAGCGGCTTCGCCCGCGTGGTTCCTAGAGAAATGTTTAGTGGGATAAAAAGTATCATATTATCTAAGTCAGCTAATATGTATACCAAATTTCATCAAAATCCATTTAGTAGTATCGGCGTGATTGACGTACAAACATCCAAACATCTAAACATCCAAACAAAGAAATTTTCACATTTATAATATTAATAGGATAATAGGATGCATCCTCTTCACGTCACAATATTATAATTTTGAAAGTGGTACGAAAGCCAATAGATGGAGTTGGTGTGAATGTATTACGTCATATTTTTCATAGAATTGTTTATAATAGCACGTCGCCGATTCCTCGATGCGATAGACAACTTTCTACCTTTCTCACTCTAGCAAAAGACGGTTCTGAACGACAGAAAAGGATAGGTCGACGGATAAACGATGACGACCTAGCGGAGTGGTTCGTACGCCGGTTCATCTTTAAGGTCCCGGGTTCGATTTCGAGTCAATGATCAATGTAGAAAAAACTTTTATTTATTATCTCGAGTCTGGGTGTTATGGTACTTTCATTGTCTCAGATGGTCCATAATACAGGGGTTTTAACTACTCATCTTGGAATCTGAACAGTCAATAAACGTCGCTTATTCTGAACGAACATATTATTATTTAACCGGCCACGCATCGAATATCAGATGTATGTGACGTTGTCTGATATATAATATTAAGGCCATAACCTACTGCCAGATGTAGCTCAACCCTAAAACAGTCGGTGTACCACGTAAATAATTGAACTTCGTACAACATTGAATTCAAATTTAGTTACCTAATGCTCTTAATGTACAATTAAAGCAGGAGCTATCACGTAAGATTGTGATCTTGTAATTGATTTCACTTCATGTAGGAACTTAGACTATTAACGCGGTAGCATTAATTTAAAAACAACCTGCCAAGAGCGATTCAGACGCGCGCGAAGAGAAATCCGCACAAATCTTAAAATTTAAAAATAATTTTCTGTAACGTATGTACCTGAAGAATAATTTATGTGTTTTTTATATTTTAAAATTTCTTGGTTTCGGATATTAGGGAGTGGGGAATGAATTATAAAACGAATGCATCATTTATTTGGAAATACGAGTAATAAAGAAATATTAGAGATTGTCACACTAAACTCACATAACAGTTTTTTTTTACCTCTAAAAGGCGCCACAATATTCAAGAGTAACTTAGTCACTGTATAATATATATGTATAAATTTCGATTCAGTCAGACTAGCACTTTCGAAGAAAATCAACTGAGACAGACGGACAGTTAAACAACTGAATGATAAGAGTTCCATTTCTGTAAGAGCTAAGCTTCTGTAAGAATGATAAGAGCTAAGGTAATAACACTAAAAAGTACTTATAAGATAAAATCAATCTGAAGTTCATAAAATGAACTTAAATGCAGCCCACGTAGCATGAGACACTCGAGAGACTCGAGAAACTAGCGAGATTGATAGTGTAAAGTATCGAGTATTGTATTCTCACTTTTGACGCTATTGTCGAGCATTCGTTATGCTACATGCACTACATAAGAGACTCGAGAAACTAGCGAGATTGAGAGTGTAAAATATCGAGTATTGTATTCTCACTTTTGACGCTATTCTCGAGCATTCGTTATGCTACGTGCAGAAATGATAAAAGATACGTAGAGAAATGAGTTTCATTACATTCATTAATATGAAATAAAAGATTTACCATGAAGTAGCCAGCTTTGGAGATACGATTATAGTATCGTATCTCGTCGAGATAGTGGCGTAGTAGTGCTGGATTGTTTTCATCCCCACCATCAGTGCCGTAGTGCATGTCCACGAATTCGAACTGTAAACAAAACATAATTAATTTGAATTAATCTCCTTAATTAATTATTTATTGCTTTAATTATTTGCTGAAATAGCTTGTTTAGCGTTACTACGTTGGCATTATGATTGTGGTCGAAAAAGAAACAACCTCGAAATTTAATACGATCGCTACACTACGTTTTGGAGATCGTCTTACATTTCTAACCTATCACGTGGCCTACAGAAAAATTTAGTTCAGTTCATATATCAAAAACTTTTATATCCACCAATATATTTTTATAAAGCTCTATCAAAAATCTTGCTTTTATCATAATCTTGTGACATATCCATAAAACTTAAATTGGATATCTAGTTTAGTAGTCGGACGCACGTTCGCACTACACCCCTACAATTGTCTAAATCAAGTAATTGCTTCCCGTTGCTTGGTCACCCTACTTTCTTTAATTTGTTGTATAACCTAAAAACGAAAAAAAGCGCCTCTTACTGAGGCTAATGTAACTATTTTACGATATGGATACTAATGCTTAGCCACATCATGAAGCAGTCATAACGATCAGCCGCCCATATTACTCATTGATCTGGCCAAGCCAGATCATGATGTGGGCAGTTAGTTCTTTCTTTTCATGAAATACGACCAATTCATGAAATGGCCGGCCGCATTATGAATTGGTCAATTCTACGATCTGTCCACGACATTTATATTTTTTTATATTTATTTCTTTTAAGGACTTTGTAAACATATATTCGTCCTATTGTACCTGTACCTACATTAATTTTAAAAGACAAAGTAATAATTTCTTAATGAAAAATACTTTAAAACCCACTTTATCCCTGGCGCTCTGAGATTGGACTCTAAACCACGACGTTTCCCTGAGCCTTAACCCTGAGCTACCCAGGACTGACGAATCGTTAGTTTTTCGCTACGGCAGAGCATATTTTCATCAATGTTCAGGCAATCCTCAATACTGAAAGTTTAAATATTTCCAAACAGCTGAAAGAAATATTTAAACTTTTAAAACACTTTTTATGCCATCATCAACTCTATTAGGGTCAGAGTCATACATACTTATATGCTTGTGACCTAAAAAGTTTTTGTGGGACAAAAAGACTTTTACGTCGTAACTTCTCGTTGGTTTAACTTATTGTATGCGCGTAGTCTAACATCATAAATTTTTATGCTACCCCAGGACTGTGACATTAACGCATATTGTGTGGTTTCGATGTGTTATAATACAGTAAAAGGGCCAAATTGATTACGTTGAAACAACAAATAGGTATGTCGCTATCAACAATCAACCTTATACCCTTATAATAGTAAATACTTTTTTTTCTGTTCTGCGCATAAACTAGACTTTCAGTTTTAATCCTGTAGTGTTTAAAAAGAAAACTGTTTAATCTCCAAATTACTCGTACATATCATTAAAAATGATATAGAGAAAATATAAAGCATAATCGTTGACTTTAATTCTAATAAAATTTTTTTTAGGTGACCCGTTACATTAATAAATATCAAAACGAAATGACAATTGTTATTGAAGACGACGGGAAAAATCATATCCACTGAAAGCTTAGTTGTTATTACACAAAACTGTCGATTTACCGTTAGTTCCTTAAAAGATAGTTTTAAAGTAAGTTTTTTTCTGAAAATGCTTAAAATTGTTAATTTAATGTGCTCTAGTCTAGTGTTTCAACTAAAAAATCATTAATTCTCAATTAAGTTCATACTAATATAAAAATTAAATCTAGAAAATGAGAAATTCAATTTCGCAAACAGAAATTGCCGGGCAACATCCAGTTAATTATAAACAAAAATAACACGGTGAGAACCTACAAAACCACAGATTTTTAAACTCCATTTAAAAATACCTGCCGAGTTCACCCTGTTAACTTTTTGCTGGCCTAATTTCATCACAGCGAAATAAATCATATTTCCTCATAGCGGAAGAGTTAATGAATTGTATTTTCTCATTACTCTGTGTATTTGAGCGATAAACTCGCTTAAGAATTTAGGTTGGAATATTTGTTGTAATAATAATTAAATTAGTAGATATTGTAGAAAATATGTTGTTTCAAGCCTTTATGGTCATTTGCAATATCATTAAGAGTTCTCCAAAGATTTCACAAGATATGAAAATGAGGCTCACTAATAATACAGAAGCAAAAAATATTATAAGTCCCATGTTACGGCTATGATGAAGTCCTCATAACTGTAATAAATAAAATATAGATTGTCTGGCTCAGCCTTTTTTAATAACTGTATTGAGCTTGATTTGTTTCCTGAACATTGAAAAATTGTTAGGGTTTTATCAGTCTTCAAAAGAGGATCTAAAGTATATCTGAAAAACTATATAACTATATCTCTGCTTCCAGTATCGTATAAAATATTTAAAAAATATATTGAATCCAGGCTCGCTCTAGATCTTAACCAGCAAAAAATTTATTTGACCCTTGATAGTTCTGAGATTATTCATGCTAAGAATGAAACAGCTGCCAAAGCGTGGAAATCCTTACGTAATATCTATGAGGTACTTTGTACTGGACAAGAACTTGGGAAAATAATAGAAGACACATTTGTAGCAGCTACATTGCTAGGAGGTCTGACTCCTAAATATGACGCACTTATTATTGCCTTGGAAAAGAGCAACGTAGAAGTTATTACTTTGGTCAAAACTAAACTCTTAAACGAATTGTATAAAAAATGGTTTCGGTAATGATTCTGTTGCTGCAGTACATGTAAAAATAAACCAAAACCCATAGTATACTAGAATTGTAAAGAAACTGGTAACAAGAGGCCTGATTGTCCTTTACGTAAAAATAAGAAGAAAGAGTTAACTAAAAATACTTCTATTGTTACTTCTTGCACTGCATTAGGCGTGACTACCGATTATAAAGACATATGGTATGTAGATTCAGGTGCTATAATATATATGACATCACGAAGTGATTGATTTAGCTTTCTTACATAAACCTGTAAGCTCAGGAGCTGTAACTGTAGCAAAGGGAACACAGATTAGTGCGGGTGGTATTGGTGATATCAATATAACTGTTAATTAAAGATCTGTAAACAGTAATAATTTTGTAAAGAAAATAACTGATGTTATTTATGTTCCCAATTTAAAGCCAAATCTTATTTCTGATAAGAAGGCTGTAGATAAAGGTTTCTGTGTGTTGTTTGACAAACTGGTTGTAACTTTTATGATGCAGTAACTTTTCTTTTACAGGTGATTTTATTCTACACGGTTCGTCTCATAATAGTCTGTACACGTTAGATTATTCTGTAAACATACACAAGGCCAGATGTAGCATTTGCTATTTGCAGCAATACGAATACTCCAGTATCTTAAAGGTACTATAGATTTTTGTATCTTATTCAAAGTCTGGTCATGCTTTGTCGGGTTTTGCCGATGCAGATTGGAGAAATTGTATAAATGATAGACGTTCCTATACAAGTTATTGTTTTAAAGGCAGAGGGTCTAATTTCATGGTCGTCAAAGAAACAGCCGACTGTTGCGCTTTCCTCAGCGGAAGCAGAATACATGGCTTTGACTGATGCCGCTAATGAAGCCATATATTTAAAAAGGTTTATAATGGAAGTTTTAAGTAAGTCTGAATATGTCCAAATAGCGTTAATATATTGACAGTCGGAGTTTGGCTATGAATCCAGTATACCATAATCGGACGAAACACATAGATACGAGATATCACCTTATAAGATAGAAAGTTTCTGATAAATCTTTATGTGTAAATTTTTTAGAATCCTCTCAAATGAAAGCTGATATTTTGGCAAAGGCTTTAAAATGCACATACAAGGTGTGTAAAAGGTTAAAGTTTGAATAAAGAGATGGCGTGGGGTTTTAATTCGATAATTTTTATCTATGTTATACTTTAGATACCATTATCAGCAAGCGAAGTCTACTGACAAAATTAATAACTAATACCGGAGAACCAACTCTAGTACTGGTTCATTTGGCAATAGAGAGTAGGTTACGATGTTTTATGTCAAAAACTGCTATTTCGAAAATCGATGTAGATAGTACCACTCCTAGCCAACAAAAATCAACGACTGTAGCAGCATAATTTTGATTGTTACGTAACACATTATAATCATATATATATCTCATGAAATAGGGATGATGACTAATTTTTGTTTGTTTGTCCGTCAGATAGAGTGTTAAAAAATATTAAACACGTATTTTTTTATTTTTTTCGTTATCATAAAATTACGGCGTTACATTGAGTTGAAATTTCGCATGACGTCACGTTAGAGTACGATTTTTACTCAACTGTGACGTAGCGAGCCCCCACTCCTCAACTTTAATGCCTGTTATCTAAGCTATTTCTTGTTAAATTGAAGTAAAAAAAATATGTATCTAATATTTTTCTATTATCTGACTGACGGACTAAATAGAATTGCATTTTTTTACCCAGTCATCATCCCTATTGTTGTCTTTCTTTCAGCACTTTCTACTATTGATATCTGTTATTTCCACTATAGGGTTAGATGGCCTGGTTTTGTCCACTGCCCCCTTTTTGACCACTTGGCACTTTAAGGCGTCCTAACTAACGCATAAGCAAATATATTACTTTACCGCGAATGGCTATGTATATACTAAATGTTAATTGTCCTGTTTGTTTTATACTGGGTTGTGTTGTGTGTTGGCAAAATAAATACTTTATTATTATTATATTTTATTATAATGGCAAAAGTAATACCGTTGATAACTGTGATGTGTCAAAGTTTACTTTCTCGTAAATCCTAAAATGGTCATAACCAGGTCATAATTTTCAAATGGCCCATGGATCATCTGCCCAATGATTTTTTTAACATTTTCCACTACTTTTGTATTTTAAAGGAAATAAAAAAAAACGAATACCTGTGAGTCCGGTTTCCAATTAACTTGAGCAGAATACGATTTATAAGTTTCAATTTAAAACAGCCGTTACAAATTACAACGTGGTTGAAATCACAATTGAATTCGAGCGAAATAGTACAGCGATTTCATTTGCGACTTCTCTTGG